ATATATAAAATATTTAACAGGTCAAAGAAAACACTTATTGTGCGGCAGCTATGGACATAGGTTACATTATAAATGCAAACATGCTTTCTAGTGCAACAATTACATAGTGTTCCTGACACGGTCACGTATAATAAATAGACCCCTCCAAGGGGAATTAAACTAATTGTTCTGCATATTAAGTGTGGTATTCAAAAACATATTTTAACAAACATATTTAATAAACCAGAATTAATGAAAAAGGTAGATTATTTTTAGTTGTGAGAAAATTCACAAGCTAAAGCAAAAGATAATCTAATGCATTTCCTTCCTATTACTTACAATTTGTAATCTTAGATGCTTAGTTAAGGTATGGCTTTAGGAGATGTTTTTTCCCTGCCTGGTTCCTCGCTGTCCCGGAGAGAACACAAAGAGACCACCAAACAAAAAACCTTCCCCCCACAGATTTGAAAGTATCTTCTCCCCTTATTGGTCCTTTTGGTCAGGTGCCAACCAGGTTATTTGAGCTTCTTAACCCTTTACAGATAAAGGAGGGGTTTTATGCTATCCTTAGCTGTATGTTTATGACAGCTACCAGTGTTGCTAACCCTTTTGGAACTGAACCATTGCCAGCAACAGTGGGAAATTTTCTCTTGCACACACATCCTAGATGCGATCCTTTCAGGCAAGGGTTGAGGTGCGGGCTGGCCTTTGATGTACTTGTCCTTTCACAAGCACTAAATTCACACTGTAAAAATATAATTGGCCTTATTTTCTAAATTAATTAAATAAATATTTTTATCTTGTTCCCACCGGTGCCATGCCAGGTCCTTCTCCTCCACTCTGAAAATTCTGACTTCCTTTTGGGTTTGGCCTCTGAATTTTCTATGTTTTTGCTTGCTTGCTTGCTTTTTTATTTTCTCATTTTTCCTCTTACCTGCCTGCCTCTCTCTCTCTTCCCCTAAAATTTCTGTGTTCTGGACCTCAACTAGTTCTCCCCCACTTCTCAGTCCCTACTCCCTTTCCTCTTGCCCATCCCAAATCTCTCTCCCCTTCCCAAATGTTTCTCCTCAGCCAGTTGGAAGACTTTTTCAGTGCTGACTGACCTAAATAATTACATATTATCTGCCAGTTTTGCCATCTCACTGCTCCTGCTTTTGCAGATAATTAGGATGTATATTAAACACAATATATATGGTCCTGGTTCACACGGCACTTTCATGGCATTTTTGCCGTGATGAAAATTGATCATTTAGTCCTATTTTTTGTTTTCTGTCACTTATCTATTTTCTGATCCTTTCACTCCATGACTTCTGAGATTCCTTAATAATGTTTTGTAAGGCACTTCTAGAAATCTTTTTGAAATTTCAAATAAATTATGTCAGCTGTTTTTTTTTAATCCATTATTGTGCTGACATGTTAAAGAATTTTAATAGATTTTTGAGGTATAATTTTCCTTTGTAGAACTATGCTGGTTAGACCCTATTATATTAGAATAATGTAAGTTCTATTCATTCTATTTTTAAATGACCATTTGCATTAATTTATCAGGTAAGCAAGTAAGACTTAGGCCACGTCTACACTACCATGTATGTCGGCAAAACTTGTCGCTTAGGGGGTGTGCCCCTGACATAGTTACTGCCCCTGGTTTAATTAAGTTGATGGAAGAGCACTCTTCCGTTAGCACAGAGTGGCTACACGAGAAACCTTACAATGGCGCAGCTGCATTGGTACAGCTGTGCTGCTGTAAGGTCTCTAGTGTAGGCATAGCCTTATTGATCTGTAATTCCCCAGACCTTTAAAAAAAGAGATGCAACATTTGCTATCCTCCAATCCTCTGGTGTGATTTTAATTAGAAGTTGCCTATTGTGAGCTGCTCAGCCAATCCATTCTTAAATTCCTTAGCACATTTGGATGCTTACCATCTAGTCTTCACTGCCCTTTAATTTATCAGTTTGTTCTAGTGTCTCTTCTTTAAACACCTCAACCTCTTATAGTTCCTAAGTTTTATTACCAGAAAATGTAGATCTGGGTTTAGTTATTGCATATGGCCAGGAGGACTGTACTTTCCAAAACCTCCCAAAGGCTGACATAGCAAACATACATCCTGACTAAGAACATCCTCCAAATAAGTTTTATACACCACCACCCTCATGTTGTCCATAGCTGTGGTAGATTTGCACAGCTGAAGGAAAACAGAAAACAAATAATATCTTCATTATACTGAGAAACCAGCAAACATCTCTTTGAACTTGGTCTGTAGCTCAAGATGTGGCAATGGTCCTAGTTAAAGTGAAAATACTGTGTCAAGTACTCAGTGTGAACACCTCAGGGCTGAGAACTATTTACACTGCATGGTATCTGATTACATGAGAGACAAACATTTTGCAAGAGAAAACAAATGCTCAAACGAGGGCTGTCAAGCGATTAAAAAAATTAATCGTGATTAATTGCGCTGTTAAAAAATAATAGAATACCATTTATATAAATATTTTTGGATGTTTTCCACATTTTCAAATATATTAATTTCAATTACAACACAGAATACAAAGTGTACAGTGCTCACTTTATATTTATTTTTTATTATAAATATTTGCACTGTAAAAATAAAATAGAATTTTTCAATTCACCTAATACAACTACTGTAGTGCAATCTCTTTATCATGAAAGTTGAACTTACAAACGTAGAGTTATGTACAAAAAATAACTGCATTCAAAAATAAAACAATGTAAAACTTGAGAGCCTACAAATCCACTCAGTCCTACTTCTTGTTCAGCCAATCACTCTAAAGATTCATATGTCCCTTCATGCTTCAATCACCATTTCAGAGGACATGCATCCATGCTGATGATGGGTTCTGCTTGATAAGGATCCAAAGCAGTGTGGACTGACGCATGTTCACTTTCATCATCTGAGTCAGATGTCACCAGCAGAAGATTGATTTTCTTTTTTGGTGGTTCGGGTTCTGTAGTTTCCGCATCAGAGTGTTGCTCTTTTCAGACTTCTGAAAGCATGCGCCACATCTCGTCCCTCTCAGATTTTGGAAGGCACTTCAGATTCTTAAACCTTGGGTCAAGTGCTGTAGCTATCTTTAGAAATCTCACATTGGTACTTTCTTTGCATTTTGCCAAATCTGCAGTGAAAGCATTCTTAAAATGAAGAACATGCTGGGTGATCATCCAAGATTGCTATAACATGAAATATATGGCAGAATGCAGGTAAAACACAGAGCAGGAGACATACAATTCTCTCCGAAGGAGTTCTGTTACAAATTTAATTAACACATTTTTTTTTTTAAAAGGAGTGGAATCAGCATGGAAGCATGGCCAAAGTATGAAGGGGCATACGAACATTTAGCATATCTGGCACAATACCTTGCAATACCAGCTACAAAAGTGTCATGTGAACACCTGTTTTCACTTTCAGGTAATACTGTAAATAAGAAGCGAGCAGCATTATCTCCAGTAAATGTAAATGTAAACAAACTTGTTTCTCTTAGCAATTGGCTGCGCATGAAGTCGGACTGAGCAGACTCGTAGGCTCTAAAGTTTTACACGGTTTTGTTTTTGAGTGCAGTTATGTAACAAAAAAAAATCTACATTTGTAAGTTGCACTTTCACGATAAAGAGATTGCACTACGGTACTTGTATGAGGTGAATTGAAAACAACTATTTCTTTTATCATTTTTACAGCGCAAACATTTGTAATAAACCTAATATAAAGTGAGTACTTACACTTTATATTCTGTGTTGTGATTGAAATCAATATATTTGAAAATGTAGAAAAACATCCAAAATATTTAATAAATTTCAGTTGGTATTCTATTGTTTAACAGTGCCATTAAAACTACGATTAATCACAATAAATTTTTTAAATCGCAATTGATTTTTGTGAGTTAACTGTGATTAATCGACAGCGCTAGCTCAAACAGAAATTTAGGCATACACACATGCATGTATACATACACACATGAAATTTTAAACAGAGCATCAGACAAAGATCTAGTAAGCACCACAGCAGATTATAGGTGTAATTGGCCTTAGCAGCAAATAAACTCATTATGTTATGATGGATAGGAAGCTTTGTTGAGTGAGATGATCTATGGCTGGATATCCAAAGACTGGAAATGGCAAACGATAGAGTCTAATACCATGCTGAAGAGTACTGATCTCTTAAATATGTAGCATTCAAGGAAGAGGTTGCTCCGCTGCCACTAGGTAAAAAAACAACATTTTCAACAATTTATAAAGAATACAAAGGTCTCTAAATTTTTACCCACATACAACACAAGGCTTGGAAGAAAAATCATACACGTATTCTTCAAAAACGAAATTATTATTTCACATGCAGATGTTTCATGGAACACTGCAAAATTTCTTAACTTGTCTATTAAGGAGAGGCAGTAAATAATTTAAAAGAATACCAGAGACTGACCATGGATTCTTTAAACTTTCATCTTTTCTGTAACTTAATTTCCTCTTGTATTAATTCAGTGTCTACATAAAGAACAACAGTTTTGTCTGACATCACAAACAGCTGGAAGACGGAGACAGGGATAGAGGGCAGGGCTGGGACTACTCAAAGTTCAATTCACAGAGCATTATTTCCCAGTGACAGGTGTCCGCTCTTTTACTTTCTCTTAATCATGAATTCTCATCAAAGACAAAGATCTATTTGTTGTTCACTGGAAAATCCACTAAATGAACATCTGCTTTATCTATAAACAACTTACACATACTTTCTTGCCCATGAATACCAGCCTTACAGTTAACACATGTTTTCTGATATGAGGCTTTGTATATCTTGACTGCTCATCATATAGAAGCTCCTTGCAATTTCTTTCCATTCACTCCTAGATCTTTACAACCTGTATTGCTTCACTTCCAAAAAAATGGTGCAAGAAAGAAGGAGCAGGGTATCAACTTTCCCCAGTTACAAACCTATGTGGCCTGGAATGAACTGAAAAGATCCCTGTTACTTGAAAGGCTCTTCTATGTACTCTGTAGAGAGCTGGTAGTCTTACCCTTCTGCGCAATCTGTCCCTTTCTTCCCGGATAGCGTTCATGGTAGCCTTGGTTCTGTTCAGCTCCTCCTCTTTGCTGCACAGCATAGCAGTGAGGCTCTCATTTTCTTCCCTCAGGCCAGCCAGCTCCTTTTCCCACCGAGATCTCTCTTCAGACAGGTTTGGATAAAGATCCCGTCCCAGCACACCCTCAATCTCCTCTACTGTCTGCAAAAACACAGTCACAATAAGACAGAAAGGAGCAGGAGGAGAATATTAAAAAGGGTCAATACTACTACACTGCCACCACATAAGGATGTAAGGGGAGCTATACAATTACATACATGCATACAAGCAACGCACACGCACACACACAATGTACTCCTTTTGTTTGAAGTTTAATGAAGGCTGTTTTCATTATTATAATTTGTAACCCTTCTACTCTTCAGAACCATGAGTACCTGGGCAGACGATGGGTGCTTTATAAATAAAAGTTCACCTCACTGAGATATACACAAACAACAGCACACAGTTGGCATTTATACAGCACCTTTCCTCAGATGGCCTCAAAGTATAACACATTCACTATGCCTCACCATGAGTAAGTGTTGTGCCTCTTTTGCAGATGACTTAACTGAGACACACAGGGTATATTTGCACTGCTGCTGGGAATGTGTGTCCCAACACAGGTAGACAGACATGAGAGTTTGAGCCAGCGTAGAGGGGGTAGCACAGGTGGCAACTCATGCAAGCCACCTGAATACATACCTAGTGGGTCCAGGCAGGTTTGTACTCAGGCACCTAGCCTGACTTGCCATCTGTGCTACACTGCTATTTTTAGCACGTTCGCTCAAGCAGAGCTAGTGCTTGTCTGTCTACCTGTGTGGGGAAGCACCTCCCAGCTGAAGTGTAGATGTACTTACAATGCCAGATTGTGCCTGGCTCTTGAATGGGTGCGTAGGGCTGGGGAAGGTGCAAGGAATCCTCACATACTAGCATGACAGGGACACGTGCAGTCCCACATTTGGGGGAGCACAAGGATGGTTCTTTCCATGGGTCCCCAGGGACATGTGTTACCCCCCAAGGAGATATTGGAAAGGGAAGTAGCCTTGGCCAGGCACACTGTGCGTGTGTGTGTGTGGGAGGGGATGGGGTACACTATGCCTTAGGATGGTGCAGCCTATACATTTCTTCTGTGTACCTGGGACCTCAGCGAAGAACTGGGATTCTCTGATGCACAATCCCTTCCAGAGCTTCCGCCCAAGGTGGTGCAGAGCCACACTAACCCCTATACAGGCCTGTGCACAAAGAGGTTAAGTGACTTGTCCAAGGTTATGCAGCAAGTCTATGGAAGAAGTAGGAACAGAACCTGCATGTCCTGACTATCAATTTCCTCCTGTAAACATTGGACCATATTTCTCCCCCATCACGTTTATAATTGGTTTACAGTTGTAAATGTAACAATTCATACAGTTCGGCTCAAGAGTAAATACCAAATACACACTACTCATGAGGTTCCTACCCTCTTTTTCTGATTAGCAATACCTTGTAAAACCCATGCAATACAAAACAAGCTGCTATGCTTCATAAAGAATGAACCCTCCACCTGAATCTACAGGTCTCCAATAATCAGATTCAGAAAACAAGACAGGTTATTTCAAGATCACATACTGCTTCAAGGAGCATTTAACTTTCTCATTGCATGAATGAGCTGCATTCTTGAAATGTGAAGAAGAAGAAGAAGAAATAAAATTTGTTAGAGATGGCAAAAAGAAAAACAGGATATTGCTGGATGTTCTCTTGGAGACAATATACAGAAAGCTACTCAAGGAATCAAATCTCATATTTGGAATATGAAGTTTTGTATTTATAATTAAATCTACTTAACAACTATTTCAGATACAATGAAAACTTCCACCTAGTATTCAGTCTTTGTCAGCATTGCTAATCTGTTTTAATGCATCTTACAGAACATAGTAACTACCACTGCAAGTAAAGAAAGGGAAAGATCAAAAATGAGCCACAGAAAAGGTAAAAAGATACCAGCCCCCTTTTCCAGTGCTTCCTTTTGGAAAAGCCACATAATACGTTAAATGCACCCACTCACCTCATTACTCTGACAGGCATGTTGATAACTACCATGTACAAAGTTAACTGAATCCAAGTATCATTCTGCGCTTATGCTCTCACAAGCTGATGTGACCAACATCCATTTGCTAACTAAACTGTCTGCAGTTCTCTGGATGTGGCATGCTCTGCTTCAGCTCTGGTTTGTTAACTAGCACACTACATTATTGCAATGAAGAAGAGAATAGAAGGCAGTTCTTACATACAGGGAACTATTTCTCTGGGGGAACTAATGAATTATTGAGGTTTTTCTTCATTCCCGATTATACAGTGTTACAGTTCAGTTTGATAATGCATGCTGATGCATCAAGGATAAATCTGGAATCTAGCCTCACACACTGTAATTAGTCACGTGATCTAATGTTCTGAGCACAAACCTGGATACCAGGAACTCCAATAGCTCCTGTGGCATCCGTCACATCATAAACTCTCTGCTGCAGTTTCCTGTTTTCCCTACTTTATAGGAGTGTGGTAAGGAGCTAATGTGCAGAAATATTTACAGCTCTTTCATCTTCAGTTTGTAATTTTTAAAAAGCCATTGCTTCCTCTGATAGTTATTATTTACTCTTCTAAATACCTTGACCATTAGTCAGCCTATTCTGTGTAAGGTACTTCAAATAAATGACATGTTTATAACTGCAAAGCTAGTCAGGCAATCTCTCTGTACCTTAGTTTGCGCATCTGTAAAATAAGGATGAGGCTTACCCATATTTGTAAAGTGCTTTGAGATCTATAGATGAAAAGCTCTATACAAGATCTATAGATAATCTCTCTGTGACTTAGTGCACCCATATGCAAATACAGTTATACTACTGTACCTACCTCACAAGCCGTTGTGAGGCACAGTAAATCTTTGTGAAGTGCTCTGAGATTCTCAGATGATAGGTGCTATAAATGCAAGGTATTATCATGTATCCCAGTATGCACACAATGCATTTAGTGACTAGTTAATGCTGTTGCACCTTAATAGCTAGATCACAATGTTCGCTGGCAGTGGTGAGTTGTTCAATGTGTCTGTCCACTTCTGCTACAGACAAACTGCAACTGCTCTTCTTCCTCCCACAGACTACATTCTCCAGCCCTGTCAGCACTCTCTGCAGTTCGGAGTTCAAGTCACTGCAGTTATCTATGAAACAGAAAGAACATGTTAGACATGCACTGGGTGTCGCAAGCTAAAAAGCTACTACCATTCAATACTTACCTTCAGCAAGACAGGCTCCACTCTGTAAAATGGTATATTCCTACAGTCTGACACTGCTCTTCACAAATCTCCAGTCTTGAATACCATCAGCCTATTTGCACAAGTTATTGATTTCTCCTTACAAATCTCTAGGGTTGAATGCCATCAGCCTAAACTCTCAAATTACTCACAATCACACAAATAATCGCCTCATCCACTTATTTGGAGTGGTCGTTCTTGTTTGAAAAACCTTCTCCATATTTTAAAGACATCACGTGTTAGCACCCTCCCATGTCACTGTCCCAATTTGTTTTTTGTTACTCTCTCTCATTACTGCAGCTTCTCCTGATCTTTGTGCTCAGCAAGAAAACTTTTCCCTCGGAATCAAAATGCTCTTCTGCCCAATTCATTCAGTGATGATATAATCCAATATCCTCTAAAAGGAAGGACTTTGGGGATTTGTGCTCAAACTACTGCCAAGTGTCCACAAGCTTACACAAAAACCCCAGAGAGATTATTTTACAGAGCTAAAATTTCATTTTCACAGCTGTTTCTTCTGTGCATGCAACTGAAGAGAAGACTAGAAATATTTATCGGTCCCCAATAACAACCCTTGTTCTTGTGAGGCTCCACATCGTGATCACATTCACAAGATGCTTTAGGATGAAAACATCATCATCATTCTCACAAGGCAAGGGCCAGAGGACCCTTCCCTCGGCAGTCTGACAGCACTGGGTTATGGGGTGTTATCCACTCACTCCCCAATTTTGTGACAACCAAATGATCCCTCTTATCTTGTGAACTAACTTTACAAATTAATTGCAACACTTCCAACTTACATTCAGTGATAAATATCAGCAGTAGTCCCTGATGTGCATCATATGGTTGAACTCATTCTTGGGTTTTGATGCCTCTTGGTTGTATTCACTTATGGGCCATTAATAACCAAGGCATCATGCAATAATCAGTTATTGTATTGTACAGCACACAATGGATTTATAGATTTCATGACAATGCATTACTTTCACAGGGGTACAAATATTAAAAGGGGTGACATCCATTCAGATCCTAGGTGGAGCAATACCATAGGAATAACACTGCTCCACCTAGGACCGCATTACAGTCAGACCTTCCAATCAGATATAAAACATATGGCTGGTGTTTTCAAAGGAGCCTAAGGGAGATAGGCATTCAAGTCCCACTGAAATTCAATGGGAGTTGGGCACCTAACTTCCTTAGTCCACTTTGAAAACCTGAATTTAAAATGAAGGATCACAGAGGCTGATTATGAAAGAGTGAGGTGCGAAGGAACAGGGGACTCTGACATAGGCGTCGACTCCATGGGTGCTCCGGCACCCATGGGGAAAAAATGGTGGGTGCTGAGCACCCAGCAGCAGCCCCCCTATCAGTTCCCCGCCCATTCCCCCTAGTGCCTCCTGCCTGCCGGCGGGCCCCGCAGATCAGCACCTTCCCCTCCCTCCCCATGCCTCCTGCCCGCCGTGAACAGCTGTTTCCCGGTGTGCAGGAGGCAGGGAGGAAGGAGCGAAGAAGCAGTGTGCTCGGGGGAGGGGGTGGAACTGGGAGGGAAGAGGCGGGGCGGAGAGGGGGTAGGAAGAGGTGGGGTGTGGGTGGGGTTTTGGGGGAAGGAATGGAGTGGGGGCAGGGCCTGGGACAAAGCCGGGGGTCAAGCACCTCCCAGCACTTTGGAAAGTCAGCGCCTGTGGACTATGAAATAAATAACCTTAAGTTCACAACCAAACACTCATCTACCTTGATTAACACCAGACAAATGGACAAATCTGACCACCTAAATTACATCCACAGATATGTACAAAAACCAGACAACTGTATGCAATGCAAGGCTTGCCATGTACAAATGTTGTGGCTGTAATTTAGGCACTCATTTAAAAAAAACGGCCCAATTAACATTTAGGGGGAAATAAAAGCAACCTTAAAACCAAAATACTTATGTCCTCCATGTGCTAGTGATGGTCTCATTCAGTTACACAGGCTTCACATAGAATTTCAAATCAAGTTCAAGGTCTCAGTCCTTTATCTGGCCTAGGCCCAGCCTATTTAAATGACCACCTAAAGCCCTGGGAGAACACCATGGGCGAGAACTATGCTCCTCTGGCACAACGGAACTCTCTAACATATGGGTGAAGCTTGTCTGTATCGGTGATGAGCACAATACAAGAACCCATACAGAACAGAATAGAATGCAAGACACAGACTCAATACTGTTATCTCAAAATCCAAAGGTAGCATTTGTTCCTTTGTGTTTAAATGACAGGGCAGCAATCGTGGGCCCTTGCCTTTATGCAGTATTTCTAACTTTGCATACGGAGATCAACAAAAGTGTTCAAAAATTCTCTTTGTGTAGGAATAGGATTGCAAAAGAATGCAGCCCTGGAGTGAATGTGAAATTAGTGCAGGCAAAAGGGAATTCATGTTAAAAACAAACCCATCAACATATCAATGGCATGACAAATATGGATGGCCAAAGCAGCGTCTGATCCTGCAACCTGTGTGCATGTAAAACTCCTACTGAAGTTGTATGTGCATGAACTCATACTGAAGTTGTATCTGTATGAACTTCCCACAAACTCAGTTCTCTACGAAAACAATTAATATGCTTTAGCGTTAATGATCTGCCAAATAAGTTTATTTATTAATAAAATTCATTTCTGAGTCACAACTGCAGCATTAAGAATGTTTAATTGTAAAATCTACTTGTTTTGCTTGTGCTCCTGAAACTCAATAATGCCAGTATATACATTTTGTCTCATTTTACAAAACATTTCCTTCACAAGGCAAGACCTTATGTGCTAAGTTCTAGCCCTGAAGGAATGTTTCTCCCATTTATAACAATGTCAGAGAGACCCACAATTCAAAGGGAAGCTAGCATAAACCCACTCACAGGATTTACAAGATACAGCAGAGAAATTAATAATTTTATCTCTTGATGTTTTTGTTGCCTATAGCAGAAGAGCAGCATATCTAAAAGCATTAGTGTATTATGACACATTGATGTAGTTGGCATGTCAATAAGCTTGCTGCGTTAGTACAGTATGCAGTGCCATGTTATTATTAGGTCATGGTGATTTAGCCTGATGTGCATAACTAACACAAGGGATTATTTTTAAAGAGATACTAAAACTAAAATAAACAAAGACAGAAGGATGCTTGTGTTGGGGAGTAGGAGGAATACCTTATAAGCTTACTATGAAAGTTAGTAGTTTTGTGTAGCAATATTTTGTATTTCTACATTTGCTTGATGTGCTGGAAATGTCTCATCCTTGTATTAAGGTATAAAAAACAGATCCAGGATCAATGAAGTAGTAAAAGTAAAGAAATAACAAATATTGAAAAGTAAATTGGATTGTGAAAATTCTTTCAATCTGATTAATCTAAAGTATTATTAGTAACACAGGTAAAGAATATAGGCCAAACTTTTCAAATTTGGGCAACTAAACGCAGGCAACTAAATCCATATTTAGACATTAGGCACCCAAATTTGAAAAGTTTGCCTATCGTTTTTAAAATATAGAATTCTTCTACTAATATGTCTTTACTTCACAGAGTTGTTATTAAGGATTTTACAGCACTTTAAAATCCTTGGATAAGAGCTACTTCACATGCATTACATTGTTATTACTATTAATACTACTGTGACGGTATCCCTTCAATTGGTAGTTGAAATGTGAGGCTGTTTATAGTCACTCTTGTATTTGTGATCAGCTACCTTATTTCTGAAGCTAGAGTAATTACTTCAGCTTGAGATGTAAAATGACATACAACAACCTGTTTATTCCTTATGGCTGTTTACAGAAGCCAAGTATTTTCTATGTTATTAAATTTGAACTCAGGACAGTGATTACTATGCCCAAAGGTCAGATGACTCTTGGTGCAATTCTGCTCTAAGGTATTTGTCTGGAAACGTTCTTACTAATGAAATGCATAGGCCTGGTACATTGAAAACTTTTTTTTTAAACAGTTTACCACATGTAGAGAAGTAAATACTGCACGTTGACCAACAACAGTCACAAGCTCATGGAGAGTTTCAGGCTTGCAAATGTGGCAACAAGAATTAAAAGATTGCTGTTTTAATGATTTCCTATAATGGTGCTTATGAATGGTACATCTCGTTCACACACAGATGCAATTTACTTAATAGACAAATGGCAGAGGGAAGGGAGAAAGTGCTATGTATTTATTTAATATACAATATATTTGAGTTTCGGTGATGAGGAGAAACGCAAGAGAAATAATCTTTTAAAAGAGATCATTTGGAAAGAAAATCATAATGAGGATGACCCTTGTGATGTTGCACTCCACATGTTTATAAGTGTGAATATGATGTAACCGGAATATGCTTCATGCAAAAGGTCTCTTGTAAGGTATCATTACAAAGCTTATAATCTACTCAGTGTGTTCATCCTATTTGTTTGAATGTATCATTCTTGTATCTGAAGCTAGAAATATAAAGTATTATTCTGAAGTCCTATTGTAATTATGTAAAGTGTGGGCCATTAATGGTGGTTTACAATCTTGATGGCTCCCATTGACCAGGACAATTGGTTGTAAATAGCTCTGTTTACTTGTAAGCCTTCCTGTGTTCCTGTGAGTCAGGCCAGAAAGAATGGAGGCTTGGGGTCTCACAGGACATGTGATCATGTCACGTGGTACTGGAATGCATCTTAAACCTGGTGCTTTTTCATTTAGAATGGGAGGGGAGGGGGGGCACCCAGAGAGAGACCAAGGATTCCCACCTTGTGCCAAAGATATAAAAGGGGGTGGAACAGAACAAAGGGGGCTGCCAGTCATGAGAAATCCCCTAGCTGCCACCTGAGCTGGAACTAACAAGAACTGTACCAGGAGTCTAGTCTGTGAAAGAAGCTTATTGGAACATCTCTGAGGGTGAGATTTACCTGTATTCAGTTTCTTAAATGTACAGTAACTCCTCATTTAACGTCCTCCCGCTTAACATTGTTTCAATGTTACGTGCCTGCTCAATTAGGAACATGCTCGTTTAAAGTTGTGCAATGCTTCCTTATAACGTCGTTTGGCTGCCTGCTTGTAAGATTCTGTGGCAGAGCAGCGACTTTACAAGGGAGCATTTCACAAGTTCCGCTTCTCCGCCTCCTCCCCCTCCCTCCCAGCACTTTGCGCTTAGGATTTTCTGGGAGCTGCGTCTCCGCTCCTCCCCCTCTCTCCCAGGAAGTCCTAAGCGCCACCAAACAGCTGTTTGGCGGTGCTTAGGACTTGGGGGGAGGGGGGAGAGAATGTGGCGTGCTCCGGAGAGAAGGTGGAGTGGGAGTGGGAAGAGGGCCTGAAGTGGAGAGGACAGGAAGAGGCGGGTCTGGAGCATTCCCAGCAAAGTCCGAGCCTGTTCTTCTCCGGGGAAGCTGCTGCAGCTGCTGCTGCAAAGGTGCTTCCTAGCATTCTTGCCTGCAGCAGGCTGTGCCTGTGTGGGGTAAGCCAGGGGCACTTCCCAACCACAATACAGTACAGTACAGTACTGTACAGTATATAATGCCTTTTGTCTGCCCCCCAGAAATTTCCCTGGAACCTAACCCCCCGCATTTACATTAAATCTTATGGGAAAATTAGATTCATTTAACATGGTTTCACTTAAAGTTGCATTTTTCAGGAACATAACTACAACGTTAAGTGAGGAGTTACTGTATTAGGCTTAGACTTGCGTGTTTTGTTTTATTTTGCTTGGTAACTTACTTTGTTCTGTCTGCTATTACTTGAAACCACTTAAATCCTACTTTTTATACTTAATAAAATCACTTTTGTTTATTAATTAACCCAGAGTAAGTGATTAATATCTGTGTTATAGAGGGCGGACAATTTTTGAGTTTACCCTGTTTTTACAGAGTATATACAGAGCTTTATACAGAGTATAACAGATTTATTTGGGGTTTGAATCCCATTGGGAACTGGGTGTCTTGTGTGCTGGAGATAAGTAACCTGCTGAGTGGTTTTCAGTTAAAGCCTGCAGCTTTGGGGGCGTGGTTCAGACCTAGGTCTGTGTTGCAGCAGACTAGCATGTCTGGCTCAACAAGGCAGGGTTCTGGAGTCCCAAGCCATCAGGGAAAACAGGCTCAGAGGTAATTCCAACACGTCAGGTGACAATCCCAAGGGGGTCTCTGTGACTGAACCCGTTACAATCCTGATAATACCATTCTTCTAATCTATAATTCTGATTGGCTGAAACGGTAGCCAGTCTACACTAGTGTACTGATGTACATATAGGACACAATTTCTGCTTTCACTGAGTAAGCGAGAGAGAAAAAAGACACTCTAAACATAATAAGAATCCCACTATAAAAGAAACTAAATGTTTTAGCTCAGGGCCAGATTCAGTGTTCGTTTACACTCCATACAATCCTTCTGAAGTCAATACGGTTGTGTATGTCAGTCCTGACTCTAGTTCTTGGTGTCAAGTTAAACTATCTGACCTCATGTGTTTCACCAAAATACCAAGTTTAGAGACTAAGCCTCTTGTCTTGTTTATTTTTTCAATTAAGAATAAAATCTACTGTGACATTTAGGCACATATCCAAAAACGTACATTCATCAGTTTAGCACATGAATTATTGAAAATAGAAAAACTCAACTACAAAACCATAACAAACACAGAGTCCCGCTCTGAAGAAAAGCCACATGTTCTTTTTGTCCTCAGTTTTCAGTCAGCAACTACAAACTTGTCTTGGGAAACCCATGTATTGATGTCTCAACTATTTGGGTCAAATTCATCCCTGATGTACCTCCACCGAAATTAATCCCTTCTGTCCAATATTAGCAAGAGTGGGTCACAGACTCCCTGAATTAAGCCTTCCTTTGCAGGAAGGTTTAGAAGACTTGAACAAACTACCACCCCATTTACTCAGTAAATCTGCATATTTTCTCAGTGGTGCATTAGTCACAGGAATTCAGATACTGACAACAACCCATCCACTGTATAATAGGTGATGTGTCACAGAGTCCTTCTGTGTCTAAGAGGGATCCTTGTTCTTTTTGGAAATGGCAAACAAGATTCCCCCTTCCATCTGAGATAAAGCTTAAAGTTATAATGGAGAAGAGGAAGGAGTTTGCCTCTCTCGAAAGAGAAATCAGGGCACAACTGGTGTCTGCTAAGCTATTGCAAAAGAAAAGACTGAAATAAAAATATATTGTTAACTGAGTCTTCACTGGGACACAAACATTGCCCTCAGAGAGGCACAATTGCCATTAAAAATCAGCTGAATTTTTACTGACTTCAGTGAGAGTGAGACAGATTTATCGGAGGACAGAATTTGACCCTCCGTATGACTGTAATAAAAGTACTTAGAAAACATCTCTGTGATATTTTGATCTTTGTCTCTTCTTGGATCAGTCATATTGGACTTCGGATTTAGTGCAACGTTTTCATCAAGATCCAGTGCATCATGACTTTCCCAAGGCACGCTAGGCGTTGTGGTGATCAGCATCTAATAAATACCTGACAGAAGGAAGGGGGAACTACACTACAGCCAAGGATATATCCCTGATTCTCACTGATGTGAATGAGAACAGAATCTGATCCAATGAGACAGACATTTCCCCTCTAATATGGATATCAATGATGCTCCCAAGCCTGTAAAAAGCAGTGTGTCTATGTACCCCAATACTGAACGTCTTTATTGCTGGAGTCTGAGAACCGGATCTCTACAGCCATTACTGACTACCCTTTAATTTCAGCTTTGAAATCCCCTGTCTGAGCACATTCGAAAAACAATATAATTACTGGACTCTTTGCCATAAAGAACCTTCCTTAACACTCCACAGCACAGATAAGTGTCATTTAGAAACTTGCTACCTGTACATAAATTAATGGCTCTCAGAAAGCAACAAGTCTTAAAAGTTATGGCCTGGAGAGAGAAGTTTAACAACAGCACATTACTCTGCCATTTATTAATGTCTCTAGATGCCTCTCTTCATTTCATCTCCGCAATTTCCAACCATCAACCTTTTATAGTTAAATAAACTAGCAGCATTTAAAACAATCTTCAGTTACTTATAAATAAAATGTTTTTGCTATTTGGTAAAATAACAAAACAGGAACAGGATTTAAAAAAAAAATCAATCCATCCAATTAATCAGCCAATTACATGGTCAAGTCAGAACATGTATACTATTCTAGAGGAGGGTAAGTGTGTGTGTGTTCCCTTCATTTTCCCCTTTCCCAAAGGGCACTCATTTAGGTGCTTCAGTTCTTCGTGAAAAGCTCATTTTCTGTTCTTCCTCTGCAGCTATCCTAGCTCTTATGGCCTGGGAGCAAGGTTCTGAGATTATTTTAAATGCTACTGTTTATTCTCCTAGAGAATTCCTCAACATCTTTGGTTTGATTAACAAGGCCTGGATGATTTATTTTCTTTCCCCTCTGAGCATTCTGATCAGTATTTTAAAGGCTACAATGGCTTTCTACTAGTAGGAGACATCCTGTCTATTCAGAAAATCACTAACCCATGTCAGCGGTGACCATAGTGGACTGGTTCTCTGGTACTGAAACAGAAGTCTGATCCTGGTCCATGCTGCGTGAATCTTCGTTAGCCTCATGCTGGCTCTGGCTGAGCTCTGATCGTAGTTCAGAATATTCATCTTCCTCCCTGGGGGAGAGGCACAAGAAAAAAAATATTACTGAAGGAATAAGCAACTCTACAGCATGCCTTTCAGTCCTGTAGTCACAATCAGTAGGGTACATACTGGACAACACACTTTCTCCAGCTCAACAAGACTATCAAATAGACCAGGGTATGTTTCCCATAAAAGAAACTGACTTTCTGCATTGTACTCTCAACTGCCAGTTATGTGGCGAGTAGCATCTGGCTCACATTTCTGTATTTTGAAGTTTCACCGAAGTTCTTGTGATCATTCCAGACTCATGTTCACTATAAGAAAATGTATTGCCAGATTAAGTGTGTGTGTGTGTGTGTGTGTGTGTGTCTCTCTCTCTCTCTCTCTCTCTCTCTCTCTCTC